ATATATATATAAGGTAATGAAGTCGCACATCGAAACTTTGCTGGAGTTTTAAAGAATTTAGTGAGTCGACGTTTCGGCCTGAGACAGGCCTTCTTCAAGACTGGTTGCCAAAATCGGTTACAGAGTTGTTTTCGGTTTCCAACCCCGGCTCGGCATCACGTGTCAGATCACATGTAAAAATGCCCAAGTAAGAAACACTGCGTCCCACCCCACGCCCGGCCGCAGCAGACGCCGTCAGCCATCGGAGCCAACCAAAGGCCGGGTCAGTTTTCGTGACCCCAGGAAGCCGTCACGTGCGGAAGGCGCAGTCATATATTGTATTTTTTTATTTTAACATATGCGGGCATACTAAAGTGCGATGCCGGACATCTAAACCCCAGGACTATACAAAATATCTGCGCAGGAAAAGCGGACATCTAAACCCCAGGACTGTACAAAATATCTGCGCAGGAAAAGCGGCAAAACGACATTTCTGTTTTATTTTTAAATTCATTGCATGAGAGTGCAACTTTATGTTTACCTTCCCTTCGGATTTCCTCATTTTCCCAGAACTCCGGATTGTCTGCCCGTACGTATCCGTCGTCATTCTTTCTGTGGGTTGTGCCTTCATTTTCGTGACACTCGATACTATAGTTTCCTGGAAGCTGACTTTCGATAGACACTATCGAAAATCAACGAGTCAACCGAGAACCAACTACCGATAGTCGACGATTGATAGCACTACCAATAGTCAACTATCGATACTACTATCGATGGTACTATCGACAGGCCACGTTCAATAAATAGCCTTCGAGATCATCGATAGTTTGGGGGAAAAAAAAACCATCGATAGTATTGATAGTAAATTTTATCGATAGTTTTGCATCACTAGTGTGAAGTCGTGGAGTAGCGTGACGTCACGTCGCGTGACGTACTGTCACTTGATATCCTGATGTCACGTGACGCCACGACTTAACACCATCGCGTCACGTGACGTGTAATGTCACGTAAGCAAATTACACGATTGCTGTTAAATCGATTTTTTTTTTTTTAGGGAAAAGTGCTACAGTGGGCTATTTACTTCCCTCAGATATTCCCAGTTCTGTGTCGACATCGCCATGACTATAAGAAAAAGGAAGTGTGGTAAAGAAACTTCTCAAATTCCCCAGCGAACGGTTCTCAAGCGGAATTTTCTTGAGGGAAAAGAAAAAGCCGAATTTCAAGTCACAAGACTTCTCACAATTGATGGACTCTTACGCATCCTGTTTGCGTAAACAATTTAGGCGCGCATTGTTGCCTCGTCAGAGTTCCCTCTAAATCCCTGAGGATTATGGATTATTTAACTAGATGCTTCTCGATCCAATATGGACGGTGCTTCTTGGACTCGAAGCATGCTGCAAAGAGGTGGTGGGAGCGAGTTCACACGAACTGCTTATTGACTTTCGTCCATTTCTCGCGCCGCTGCATTGCGCGAACTTCGTGAGGTTCCACGCCTTCGACCGCAAAAACCTGATTTGACAGCTCGCCTCGCTGTCGCTCAGGGGTGCAAACTACTAAGGAAGCCCCCATTTTGTATAGACGCTTTACACACGCGCCAGAATACAGCCGCCATTGCTGACCTTCTCTTGTTTTACCGAGATACCGAGCCACTGAAATTGGTGTGGACGAGCCTCCACAAAAGCCAATGTTGGGGAGAAAGACTGAATAAAATCTAAGATGGCAATAACCTGGCCTGCTATGGTAATAATAAAGTGAAGTAAACGTAATAAGGGGAAACAAAAACTGAAGGTCAGTTATGGCGGTGCCCATGCACAGCTGCTGCAAAACGTCTATATGTTGTCTTTGCAATTTAGAGCAACTGTAGTTACTCTATTTCAATTAGCAGTAACTGGACACGCTCCGCCACGCATATAGTCACCCTGTCAGACCCATTAAAAGGGCTTTTTTTTTAGCTACCCAAACTAAACGCGTTTTCGAAGTACACAAGCTTCACTCTTTCCGGCACGTTATTTAAACCGTATAGACACGTCCAGGCAGCTGTGCATGCGCGCCGCCATAAACAACCTGCAGTTTTGGTTTCCTCTTATTCCGTTCGCTTCCCTTCACCATTGCCACAGCAGGACAGGTTATTGTCACTTTACGCGCGACTGTGTCCTTCTCCCCAGCATAGGCCTTTCTGGAGGCTCGTCAACGCCCGCTTCAGTGGCAAGGCATCTCGGTAGGACAAGAGAAGGTCGGCAATGGCGGCTCAATCTGGCGCGTGTTTGAAGCGTCTATACATTTAAAATAGCCATTGAGAAAACGGCAAACGAAGGTTCTGCCAACAACCACCATCCAAAATTTTCTCGCGCTCTCTCTGGGGGTGACGACTTTGCCGAATAAAATCGTTCACTCTCAGAAGTACTATACGTACCCCTCATCCCATATCCCAAAAACTAAAATTCGGCCTTCAGTCCACTGACGTCGAACCGACGATGCCGACTTTTACGGGCGGCTTCTGCAGAAAACGAACAAGAGAACACCGAGGTTTTGCAGCAAGGCCAAGAAAATCTTTAGTGTTTTCCTGTAGTTTTTTTAACGCGTCCATTAGTAATTTTAATAAACTGTATAAGTCGACTATCAAGCCTCTCGTGAAAGTCGGTATCGTCGGTTCGACACCAGTGAACTTAACGCACAATTTTAGTTTTTTGGGTTATTACAGTATATGGGACAAATGGTGTACGTACTACACCCTTACTTCTAAAAGTGAATTGTTCCCGTCCTGCTTCGGCAATGCGCACTCACAAGATGCCAATGTGTTACCAAACGTATAGAAAGTTCGTACTGGAGGCGAAGCTTCTACCGCAGACCATTTGACCTGGCGACGAGATGTTTTCGGTGGCGTCCCCGTACATTTAGGGGTTTACGTTCCAAACCAACGAAAGGCATGTGGCACGCCTCAGCGGAGCCACTGAGCATTCATTTAGACCACCCGGGGACCTTTTGACGTACAACCGAAAGCTCGGCTACACAGCGTCTTTTGGCGCAATAAGCCTCCGTCAGATTGCGGGCACCTCGGGCGGGGTCCGAACACGCCAACTGGAGACCCGTAGGCCAGCACTTTTTCTCGGAGACAAGAGGCGGCCCCCAGTGGAGTCCGCGTATGGCTCCTATACCCGTGACGTCAAGGACGGAATTATGAGTTGCGATCAAGTTGGATGGTGCGTAGAAAGCAAGTTGGAAGCTCGGAGTTACGGTATTTCTTAAAACGGAATCGTCGAAGAATTGACAGTCTGAGGCTCCCATTATCTCTGATCGTATAGGGAGTGTTTTGCAAATCGTGAAAGGCCGACCACAGCGATGCTTTCGGGCGTGCTGCAACCCACTGCGCGAGCGCGTTTCGCGCCTCATTCGCGCGCGCTTTCGTGCGAAGGAGTCGACCAGCGAACATGCGCGCTTGCGCAAGTATTTTTGAAGGTGTCGGAGCACTGTGGAAACCACGCTAGCCATGACAATTCACTCTAAGAAATGTGGAGCGCCCACTTTCCCGCAAAGTAGTTGGCAGAGTCAATCGCTGCAATCCACGATGTGATATCAGCGAGTGACAAAGCTAATGTTATGTTTAAACCTAAAAAAAGAAAAGGAAACGAAAACAGTCTGCGTTGGGGCATGACGTTCACCATGCTAAGTGACACAGCGCACTCTTTTTCTTTTTTTTTTATGTCTAAACATATTTTGAGTTTCGTCATTCGCAAGTATTCCACCGTAGATTGCAACAATTGGCTCTTCCAACTGTCTTGCGGGAAAGTCGGCGCTCCAGATATTTTAGAGTGCACAGAGAAGTTGACACCGAGCATAACGTAAATACCTAAGGTGGCAAATTAGCATTCGGATATCTATAACGCTAACCTCAGAGGAGCAAAACTCGTCATATATACTATTGCACTACTGGGTCACCCAAAGAAGACTAGCTATATGCGACACGCATTCGGTATGGGCCATTTGCAAGTTGCATGACTCCTGAATACGTCTACCATAATGTGATTTTATTTGACTTCCTTCATATAAGAGAGTAAACACACTTCAACGTTTTTATTGTAGTTCTATGACACATTGGTCGACGTTGAGTGCATAAAGTTCTTGGATTATACCAAAGCTTTACTTTTTTTTTTTTATGAAGTCAAATATTATCTGAAAACAAAGGATTCAACTTCAATCAAACTTAACTCAACTCATTCTCGTTTAAATGAAACGCAATTAACGAAAACCATATGCCCAGCGGCCTTCATCAATCGCCTTCTTTTTAAAAAAAGTTGTTCTGCTTATGAAACCGGTCATGGTCAAACTGTTCACTCGATATAGTCCCCCGTACCAAAGATAAACTTTTATTAAAATCAGAAGATGCCGAAAGCCACATACTGACAAGCTACAAGCCCCCGTCCCTCGCCATCAATCGCACACGCGCGCATCCCAAACTCGTACCAAACAAAAAGTCGACGGGACGTCCTCCGACCAACCTCATCAAGCTCCAGCTGCGAAACACGGCCGCCAGATGGCCGCACACACCCTCTCTACTCCGCGTCACATAACGATGGAGTGCAGCGGACGCTACAAGCCATCCCAGCCAATCCAACGTTGTGAACGTGTCACGTGACTACGCGCCCCTCCTCTTAAAGTCCAGGTGACTCTCGCGTGGCATTGCATTGACTCCGAAGGCTCGTGGCGTCCTCTGTGGGTCCATCGCAAGGTATAGCTCTAAGGTGCCTCGATGAGATAACCGGCTCAGTGGCCGCACAGACATGTACGGGGCACCCTATCGAGTCCCTCACAAATACTCACGAGGAGCCCGTACACCCAGCCAAACGCCCCGCAACAACAAACGACCAAATCGGGGCAACATAATCAACAGCACCAACAGAGAACCAACACCAAAAAGCGATCCAAGCGCTGCAGCTGCGAGGCAGCCCGTAATCGGCCCTCTCCCAGGCCGCGCCCTCTCGGGGGCCACACCGAAGTTAGCGCCGCGTGCAAGAGGAACTCACCTGCCATAGATCAGGCATCGAAGAAAAGGCGCAGGCTGCCTGCGGCTGGGGATCTCTCGCTGCGTGCTTTAGCAGCAGTGGCTTGCTCGACTCGACTGCATCATGAAGGTAGTCTCACGCCGTCAGCACATCCGGTATATCGAGGAGGCTATCTCGGGGTACAGGTTGGCGCCTGACAGCGGGCCAGGACTTTTGCGGCAACGAGCCCACGAGTCCGTCGCTGCTCGAACACGCGGGGCTGCGATGTTGCTCCTGCGAAGGAAAGAAAACAGAAAAGCGGCGATGATTCGATGCTGGCGTTTCGTGGCGTTCGTGCAACGCGGCTCCTTACTGCTGCGAGGAGCTGTTGGACAGTCCCGTAAGCTGCATGCGCACTATACAAAAGGACGTCGTCCTGGGAACGTTATATAAATACTACCGTGTTGGCGCTCGCCGTATTTCTCAGGTCGCATAATCTTTCGGCCATAAACGAAATTCGTCCGAAAGTCGTGCCACGTTTGAGACGTGGCACTGTTTCGGAGTGATTTGTCACCTGCGGCGAATTTGTTCTGGAGAAAAGAAAACGGTAATTCGACATTGACATATATATGCTAGTAGTTATACTCTCCTAACCTATCGGGGCAAGTTATTTTTTGCTTCTCTACGGTGTTAGCCATCGAACACGCCATATACTTTATGTTCACCGTAATGTAAGCCTGCATGGCGTTACAGCCCGTCATTCCCGCGCGTCGGGTTGTTCTGGACATCTGATCGTGGACCCTGCAGTAACGCCAGATATGTACCGCAGTAATGTTTTTTCAGCTCAATCTTATGCTGCAAAGATTACCCAGAATTTTACATCTAACTATGCTTAAACATGGTGACGGAAATTCAGTAGCCCACGAGAGAAAGAGTGCTTTACTACTATCTCACAGCGACGACGTCGGAAGGACCCCCAGATAAAAACCCCTTTCTTCGAGCTTTTTAAAGGCAACCAGATTCTTAGACATGGCTACGGTAATGGCCTATATGTACCCGTTCCTAAGAGCTACCAAAACATTCGCGAGAGCCTAACCTTTTAAACTCCTTTCTGTATAAGCACCAGCTACTCGCGCGAAGGAAATCGTTTTCTAAAGCCACGCGTTCGTATCCGTGCTTCACAACAATGAAAACAAAAAAAAAAAAAAGTTGAGTGAACACCGGAGCAGCACCCACTTGCAAATTACGGTTTAACTCCTGGGCCTTTTAACAGACCGAAACGAGTAAAAAATACAAACCAAAAAACAAACAAACAGCGAAAGGAGGTTTATATCGGTAAAAGAGAAGAACACTCCATATACAACTCCAGAAACGCGGCTAAAAGACAGCCCTGTTCCCGCGCGTGCGATCTTCCACGCGCGAACACTTATCCACTCGCAAGAAACTACATTTACGAGTAAAAAAATCGAGAAAAAAAGAAAACACAAAGCGATGCAAGATGACAGACGCGGAGGACGAAGACAGTGGCGAACTTCAAAGTCACTGAAGTCTCGAGGCGAGCTGGCATCGATCTTAGTTTCTCGCTCGCCTCTTCTCCGACCGCACTCAGGCTGGGCGCCTGCCTGGGCGTCCTGCACAAACGAAGCTTCTCTCGACGTGTGTGACGGCGGCGACGCCAGCCAGCCAGCCGACCGGCCGGAGCTGTCTCGGGGACAAAGTACCACCCGACGACGACGAGCTCTTCCTACGCCTGTTCGCCCTTCCCTCCCGTACGCGCTGTCTCGGAAAATGATCTGTCAACGGAGCGGGGCTCAGAGCCGTCAGGGCCCGGACCCCCGTTCAGGGCTCCGTTGTTTTTCCAGACTTCCGTCCCGCATGACGACTCCAAAAGGAAGGCAGAGAAGATGCGAATGATACCGGAGATTTGCCGGAGATTGCTTGACGCGTGGACGTGCGTGTATGCCGCGGCGTCACGCTTTTCGGGTCGCCACCGCTAGGGGGTCGGAGGCTTTGCGTTGCTCGAGAAAGAACGTGCCCTCTACGGAGCTGCTCCTTGGAGGCGTTGGAAGGGAACGGAAATGACGGGATAAATCTTGGCGTTGAGTCGGCGGCGCACGTCGACGGGAAATGGGGAATGTGGAATGGAGGTGGAGGACGAGTTTCTGGGGTCGCTGCTCTGTACCGCTGATGCGTGAGGAGCACCTTGAACGTTTTCTTTTGTTCTTCGAAGAAGCACCCTTCGGCGAACAACATCCATCCAGCCAACAGTCTCGTAAAAAGAAGGAAATCGTTTTGTATCGCTTGATACTATGTCTAGGGCCGCTGTCTGCGATAGACAGAAAGGCGTTACGTGATTAAACTCGATTATATGAGTTATTAGCAACTTTCAACGATGGTGGTACCACGATGTGACAGCGATGCTCTCTAGTTGCTGGCTGATAGAGTTCACAATAGAGCACTGCACAAACTCCGAAAGCCCGGGCCCACGGGCCGGGTCGGGTAAGGCGTTTTTTTTTTTTGGTGCTCATGGGCCGCGCCCGGGCTGGGCTCGGGCTTTAGACCGCGGGCTCGGGCCGGGTTCGGACCAGCATCTTAGGGGACCTGGATGATAATCGGGGGTGCGGCCCCAGCCCGAGCCAGGCCCGCCAACGAGTCTAGAAAGTAGGTCTGGCTTCAATGTGGAACCTCAGTCTGTAACTGGCTCATCTCACCTCTGTTAAATTTGTTCAACTTGTCTTGGCGAAAAGGAAAACACGAAATACACGAGCATAGCTTTATTATGCTGCATTTATTAACGTAGAACTTCGTCTGGGTGGGGAGAGAAATGAAACGCGATTACGTACACAGTCGTAATTTATTTTTGGAGAAACCGCAGCAGTCCCCAGATCGATGGATTAATACACGGCAAGCATAGCACGATGATATGATAAGCACAATATATGTTTCGGCTGCGTCGCAAGCCGACACAGATCGGAGGTTTCGCCTTGCTCCCCAAGTACAGCGTGTCGGCCTCTACAATATTTTTCCTGGCAATTCTGCAGAATAAGTAAAAACAATAATTTTAAGTATGTGGCCCCGGAAGAAATACTGTTTATTTGTAGAAAGCTGCACGTGAACAAATTCAGTGTAGAAATAGTTAATCTGACTCCAGTGAATAACGTTCAACTCGTCTTGAAGATAAAAGAAATCGAGGTCGGAGTTTTCGTTTGTTTCTTAGGTATAAATGTCGAAGAATTCATCTACACCCTAAAAAAAGCCCGTGCGTCTACTGTTTCGCACAACACTCGGAGAGCCAATCACCGCAACTTACGGAGGCAGCTCAGAAAATGACGATGCCCTAACATATGTTTAGACCAAAAAACGCACTCTGAGTTGTGACATTAAGCAGTGCAAAACGTCACGCTTGCATTGCTAATGTCACAACTCACTCTCAGACTGCGCTTTTCGGTCTAAATATATGTTTCAGCATCGTCATTCGCTGAGCTGCCTCCGTAAGTTGCGGTGGTTGGCACTCCGAATGGTTCGCGGGAAAATAGTCGCACGGGTTTTATTTATTTATTTTTTTTTTAAAGTGCTATATACCTTCTCTTTTATTTTAGTTTTCTGTTATTTGTTAAGCTAATATCACTTCTTGTGTTGCAATCGACTACTTCTAAAAATCCCTGCATACAACAGTGCCCGTGTTGCATTATGGGACCTCTTTGGCCAGTGGCGTACCAACTTGAACTTGTTTTTGAGTGGGGGAGCAAACCAGACCGCCCAAACCGCCGCCGCCGCCCCGCCCCCCCCCCCCCCCCCCCCCAGCCGGCGGGCGGTGCCCTTGGTATCCTTCGGCGCCTCCGGCCAGTGTTCGCCCTGCCCAGTGGCGGCTGTTTCACGGGGGGGGGGGGGGGGGGGGCAAAACACATGCCTTCTCCCCCCCCCCCCCCCCCCCCCTTGCCCCCCCCGGTTGGTACGCCAATGTCTTTGGTCATGGAGAGGAATGACATCCATGGTCTCGATTTCGATTGCCCCATTGACAAAATAGTGCATCACAGCACTGCACAAAAATAAAGTCAGCGTTCCCTTGCATTGCACCCCTTCATCATCGTGAAAGCCTCCGTTGAAACACGGACCCCCAGCAGCTGTAAGGAGGACCTGCCGAGATTAAACGAAAAGGAGTAAGGCCGGTCGCGTCCCATAGCTTTCTGGCAGCTTGGCTACAACCCCAGAGTGCAGTATGGCCCTGCCGGGTCACAAATCAATGAATCCTAGGACATTGAGACGATGGAATAGGATGATCGACCCAGTACACTTCTTTTTCACGTGTTTACCTGCGCACAAACTATGCTACGCCAACAGCAGCCCCCCTCGGGCAAGACGTAATCCAGCATCCTGTTCGTATTTGTAAGCAAAACCTACAGTATTTTAAATTTAAGGAAAGTCGCATATTCGAAAATGCACGTACTGTATTTGGTCGTGACGGGATGCCGTGAATTGAGGGTGGCAAATCAAAACCGAAACCGTGACCATTGGGCTCCCGAGGTGCACTGCGCGGCACTACGTCGCTAGGATCACTTCGATTTTGCAAGATGCATCTACTCGACTTACACGTGTAATTCGTAAATCCGTCGGTTACTGACATTCATGGAAACATGTCCCGTACAAGCAATTCACCTCCAACGGTTGCATTAGGTGCATAAAATTACGTTGCCCAATACTTTCGTACTCCACGCGGCGAAGTTTTGACAACATGAGATCGAATTCGGGCCAGGGCCGGGCCCGGGCCTGTTCTAAAAGGTGGCGGGCCGGGGCGGGCCGGGTAACACAGAAAATTCTTGGGCTCGGGTCGGGCCTGGTTTTAGACACCTGGGCCCAGCTCTGGGCGGGCAACTCACCATGACGCCGGGCCCGGCTCGGGCCTGGGCTTAAAAAGGCGGCCCGTGCAGTGCTTTAGTTCAGAATAATAATGATGCATCCTTACATCCTTACACAAAAATTCGGAAAAGCAGGAGCACGTCCTGCTTTTCCGAATTTGCATCTCAGACATCCTTCCGGCGACGGGCTATCTTGATCAACATTGCCATAGAACTCACAAACGACAAACAAGAAAAAGAAAGAAAAAAAGAACATGGTTTTGTAGGGCTGATTAGAATACGCCCACCGTATTAATTATCTTGAGAACAAAGGTGAACTGAATATGCAATGAGAACTACAGAAATAAGCGGTGGCAGAGGCGGCTTTTGCATAATCTCTGCTCGCTTCGTGCTTATTATCCCAGTTTATAAACACTGCTGTAGATACCTCGCAAAATA